CGGCAGCCCGCCGCTAGGTGGAGCACGGTCCTCACCGCAGCCCGGCGGGAGTGGCCGGACCGGAGGCTCAGGGAGCTGTCGGGCCGGCGGTGCCTCCTCCCTAGGGCAGGGCCGGGCTGGGCCCCCGGGGCTGCTGCTTCGTGGGGAGGCCGGAGAGTTGCCTTCTGCCTCCTGAGCCAGGGGCGCTCCGTTTGGGAAGGGAGCAGTTCAGCTAAACTAGATTGCAGCGCGGGCAGGAATATTAGGGAGAGGGGGAGCCCCCTCCTCCCCCAGGACAATCGCCGCAGCCCCCTCCTCCCCCAGGACAATTCCCCCCCCCCCCAGCCCAGGCAGCAGGGAAGAGGGGGGCAGAGATCTCCGGGCTATTCCCAACTTCCCTAAAGACACAAGGGAACCAAGCGCTTCCCAGCTGAGTGAGTCTTTGGAGGGGAGCCTCAGGCAGCGGCTGGTATGCCGGGGGGGGCTGTCTGGCAGAGCCAGACGATGCAGACAAAAGTTAAGGTAAACCACCAGTGCCTCGGAAAGCTCCCTTGAGCTCGGAGGGAGAGATGCTGCAGAAGCAGCCCACAAAGTGTTGGTCTTTCTAAGGGTCACGTCCTTGCTAATTATCAAGGAAATTTAAAGCTAGAGAGAGAGAGAGACGTGTATCAGCTCTGAACCTAGAAGAAAATTTGTAACTCTTTGACTTGCTTCTGTAAGGGAAGGAAATGGGTCAAGCGGCAAGAGGGTCAAACGAACAAACAAACAAAAACCATGATGCCTCGGGGCTTGTGTATTATTATCGAACCAAATCTATAACAAGTAGAATATGAGCTTCCCCATTCTGCCAGTTGCCTGCGCTGGGTTTGCTCCATTTTTAAGGGGCATTTTGGGGGTCGGGACGCAATCCTGCCTTTAATTACGCCGGTGTGGCATCGAAATAAACAAGGATACCCAGTTGCAACAAGGCAACATTTGCACAGGAAGTTCATTATATCAGGAGCAAGGCTCGCTTGACACACAACACACGTGTGCACCCCTTCGGGGGCAGAAAACTCACAACACAATCGAATGACAAAAACAAAACCCTAGCTCAAGCGGAGTTGGTATAATTCGTATTTGCTTTGCTTGTGGAATAAAAGAAATGGAGAAATTAAGAGTGAAAGTAAAACGCTTTGGTACACCTGCAGATTGGATTTGATACACCTCTGATTCAATATTTAAAACTTGCTAACCTTTAACATTAACGTTCTTTATTATAGATCCTTTCTACAGCGTTTTAAAATCTAGATCTTTTCAGAGGAGCACGTATTATCTCATTTGCAAAGAAATAGATAGTAAGGATCATATGTGCTGCTTTTAATCTGAAAAGAATGCATCCTGTTCACACGTGCGGTAGATTTATCTTTGTCCTATTCAGATTGAGGAGGAGGAGGAAAGCGTGTCAAGCAGAGGAAGGCTTCATTCATTACAGGACAGTAGCTGACAAAAAATACTAGCGACAAAGCGTAAATTCAGCGCCCCAAAATAAATCGTTTCCTTTTGTTGCCAGAAGTCATCCCGAGCCAGAACCCCGCCGGCTGCGAGCAGAAAAGGGAAGCAATAGGGTAACAAAAAGAAGCACGCCCCTCCTCGGCGTCTCTGGGCTGCATAGGACCGAGCCCACACCCAGCAAGCTGGTCGCCGCATCTGGGATCGCTACACTCATCCCCTCCCAGCGCTGGCGAGCCAGCCGACAGGGACGCTGTGATGGCTTTCAAAAGTGATGCCCCCTAGGGCTGACGGCAGCCAGCGACCCTCCCCAGACCCTTCTCCTGAGAGGTGGCGGGAGAGGAGGGGGTACAAAGTTAAATATTGATGTGGCCCTACAGCAGGATTAGAAGGTGGTTTCAAAAGGCCACACAAACTGGTTACTCTCTCCCTCCGAGGGCAGCTTGTTCTTTGACGAATGGCCGCGTTAAAGAAACAATCGTTCGCCATCACTTGGGTGGGAAAGGGAAATGTCCCAATAATTGGCAACAGACCGAATCACCTCCTTCTTAACTCAGCAGCCTATACGAAGCGAAAGGAAATACCAGCAAACGAATTCAAACACTGAGGCACCAAAGTCTGTTTAATCCGAATTCCCATTCGGCGATCTCACGGCGGGCGAGCCTTTCATTAATTCTCTATTAGCTTAAGAAGGGTTTTAAATCCCCTCTCCCCCTACCTTAGTAGATTGAAACGTACTAGGGACTGGCTGAAGGTGTATTAATACCATGGCCTCCCAAACCCCGGAATGACAGCGAGGAGGGAAAAAAAGAGCTCTTTGTAAATCACACCTTGGATTCCGGATTCAGCATAGCTATCTTGGACTAATTCGGCATGGATCGCAGCAGCCCTATGCCACGGCCTCCCTGGGGCGGTTTTGATAGTTACATGAAAGGTAAAATAATCGTTAGATTTTTTTTTAAAAAAATAGGGAACACATGTTAAATAATCAGCAGTGTAGCTGTAGAGGACTGAATTCCTTTACCCATTTATTGTGTTTGTCTTTGTAAATCACATTACGAAGCAAAGGCTGGGGTAGCTAACTTTATCTACTGCTAATGTAAACAAATAAGCAGCATCTAGCCCCTTGATCTTTATTTAAATATAGACTTGTTTATCCGTGTCAGCCTATGAAGATTAATTAGATGCATTTATTCACAATTTGGTGTCTGACACCCCATTTTAGGAATGCCTTATAATCACAAGGTGTTAATTGGGGCCAGCCAGGCACTTATGTTTCTATTAAACAGTGTGAGGACTTTTCACAAGTTCTTTTTACTGTGCAGTGCAAAAATATATAGATTTTAACCACACTACAGTAGAAGCGGGCTCCTAAAGTCAGTAGCTTTGGCATTTTGCAACTGTGAGAAGGCAGAGTATGGAAGCGATTTCGTTAAAATCCCATTGCAGAGCCAGTCAATAAACAGAGGCAGAAATAAGGGCACAGGTTTATGGTGTTTATAACGCACCTCATTGAAAAAAAAAATCAGACCACCACCCCTCCTTCCGGATCATTTCTTCCAGATCTGCTACAGCGTCAGGCATCTCTAACCCTCCCCCGTGATTGGATCACCCTAGGCTCATGCCGGTGGAAGGTGAAACTCCTTTAAGACAGCTCGGGAGAACGATGGCCAGAGACCTGAGCACCGCGACTTCCTTTGGAGTGGAACCACTAATGGTAACGCGTAGACTTGCCCTCAAACCTCCAAACTAACGAATCTCTCTCCAATGCTTTTTGATCCTATTTTCTAGCCTGAAAGAAACGCAGGCTCGAGGTTTGATGACAGCTGTTGGCCCCGTTTCAGAAGCTTTACGAGAAGCGTTAACGCTTTTTACATGCTAACGTTTGCAAGGTCCATGTAAAAGACTTGATGCAAATGATCCTTTGATTGCGTTAATGCAGTCAGGGAGGTTCCCATTTCTGAAGGTTTGTTTTATTTTGTTTCCACTGGGGCATTGCTAACAGTTTAATCCTATTACTAACTGCATTTCCTAAGGAAAGGGATCGTCCCTTTTCAAAGTTTATCTCATGCAAAACGTGCTGCCTTTGGAGTCTGGGCTAGATTGTCTTGTTCTTTGGGCTTCCCTCCCTACGAATTATTGCAGAAAAGAGGATTTTCTACTAACAACATCAGGGAAGGAGGCTTCTGGCTGTTCCCTCAAAAGAAACAGTTGAAAAGCGGTCTCAAAGGGCGCTGGAAACTTGGCTGCTGCTCGATACCATCCCCCAAACCTACTGCCACCCCCTGCGAGAGAATACCCCCCTGCAGTCACCACGTTGGTGTACAGGGCCGATCTGAGCAGGGGAACTCCTGCCTCATCTCGCACCCAGCCTCGCTGCTAAAGCGCCTCTTCGTTGAGAAGCTCACAGAAGGTGATAAGTGAAATTCACAAGTCTCCCCGCAGTTGGGACCTGGCCTGAGCTAATGCCTCTCCGCCCCCTCAGCCGCCCCCCGCTGTGGGTAGGGCATGACATTTTATCGGAAGAGAGGGCTTTGAAGGCAGCACGCACAGGGCTTGGGCTAGTGGGCCAGCCCCACCCCGAGGGACCCCGGGCGGCTGAGTGCGTGTAACTTTGCAGGGAGCAGGTACAACCGCAAAGGGGGGGGGCGCTGCTCAGCCCCGGCCTGCAGCTGAGCGTGCTCGTTTGCACCTCGCTCACAGAGACAGTGGGGTGGCCCTGGAGGTGTAGGGGGCACTTTTAGCCCAAGGAGCACAGACTCAGCGGGGTAGGGGGGAAATGTGACAGAGCACTGCGCTGCAAAGGGGATAGCCTCCCCCCCTTCCTTCACGTGGCGAAGGGGTGGGCTCCTACCTGCAGCTGTTCATTTCAGAGACAACAGCAGAATCGTCTCTCCCCCCCGCGAAGGGCTCCTTGATTGCAGTTAAGCTTCACAGGCTGCCACCTGGGCGAGGCGTGCCGAGAACGAGCGCTACGGGCCCTGGGAGAAGATTTGAGCCGCCAGTCCACGTCTCAGCATTGTCAGTGAAACGCTAAAATTCCCCCGCCCCATGAGTGGGAGGGGGCTCGGGCCTCTACAGAATCAGCCCCTGCTAAGTTGTAAGAACAATAACTACCCCTCCCCCCGCAAAAAACAAACAAACAAAACAAAACACACTTGACACATCTGCATTAACCGTAGGCTTTGCAGTATCCAGCTATTTGTTCACCTTCTTCGACTTCTCCGACTGCCACTGCCTGGGCTGGAAGAGACAGAACGTCCACCTTCGAGATTCCCCGCCCGCAAGTTCTTCAGGGGGCAGGCCATGCAAAATTACCCCCTCCTCGGTATTAAGACCTTTGGTAAAAATAGCATGACTGACCCCATATCCTTAGGAGACTTAGTTCTCCCCCAAAAAAGCATCCCGCCCGAGGGTCCGCCCTAGCTGCTAGGAGGAACAACTCTACACTGCATTTTTCAACAAGAGTCCTCCATCCGCAATAACTTTGGAGAGGGTGGGGGAAAAAAAAAAGGCGAAAAAAGACCCAGTCTTGCCCCAGCACACATCACATTTATTTAAAAATTACTACTATGTACATAGCAAAAAAATCCAAGAGAAACGTTTTCAGAAATTTGTGTGCCAGCGCTTTAGGGTTTGCATTATTTTGAAACATCTGAAACTAGTCGCGAGAAGAGTGGATAAATTACATCACTTTCAAGTTAATACAGGGCAGCTGAAAAAACCACTTTACCTACAAGTCAATATAGATACCTTTTGATATACTTTCAGCAATGCATTTTTTAAATGCTCCGAGAGGCTAAATTTGCTGGAATAATCAAAAATGCTTTTAGAACGCCAAAGCACCAACTTCATATGATCCCAACCAGACCTCTATATGTAGACTATTTATACAATGTATTCCACAGTACTCTACAGTGTACCTAGACAAATACAGCTGTACACTGTCTTTTTTTGGCCACCTCGGTAAAGTTCACTTCTCATAACCCCCCCTCCAAAATTAAGTCATTTTATCCCACCCAAGTTAAAGAAAGCCAGATTTGATCAAACCCCGGGCCTGGGCAGCAGGGTGTTCAAGTCAAAACTTTCCATTCACAAAATTTTTTTAAAAGTAATCCTCCCTTCTTGTGTTATCTTCTGTCCAAGCAGCCCTAACTGCACTGAGTTAGATGCTTCTGATTGGGCAGCTGAGTGTGTTGATGAGGCCTACTCTATCTGAAGCACAGTGTAGCAGTTGCAGACACTTCTCAGAGACCTAGACGCAAAGAGAGTTTAGGATAAAAAACCCAGATCTCCTGTTTGGTAATGCATAGCACTTACCCCATAGACCACTGAGCCAGCCAAACTGTACATTTTAGTGTCTCCAATAAATAATCCACATTGTAAAAAACAGGATCTTGCTAACAACCCCCTTACTGTTCCTTCCAAAAGTTAAGATCAAATTATAATACAGTTCCTTCCCCACCCAATTACCTCCAGTAGTCAAAAAGCTTTGGCACCTTCTATAGAACTGCACAAAAACAATTCAAGGTGGAAGGCAAGAGCCTTTTTGGCAACTTTTATGTAGAAAAAACAAAATGAAAGAAAAACAAAACCCAAAGCCACCCTGAAAATTTAGCCAAATCGGGATGAAATAATGCTCTAAGTAGTAGTATAGAAAGCATAGTAGCCCATGCCTTTTGAAGTGTCTTTGCTATAGTCCTCAGCATGCATGTCTTCACATTTCATTGTTGGAGAATTTTCATTGCTGGAAGTGCTAGGAGAGAGCCGTCTTCTCTTACAAGCACTAGTGTAGACGCCAGAATCATTTGAATCTAGAGATTTTATGGAAGGTGGGGTCTCTATCCAGGATGAGCTGATTTCTTCTTTCACCTTCTCCTTGGGAAGGTGGTCTTCGGAGAAACCTGGGGGACTTGTTCGGGAGGTCCAAGGTAACCCAGTTGCCATTTTTCTCTGATAAGAACCTCTGCTTCCCCACCCTGCCATGGAAGGGAATGTTGGATCAGGATAATATCCCAAAGCATGGGATGTCTGCAAGGGAAGAGATTTAATGCCATAGGGGAGCAAGGTGCTAGGAGAATATTCTGTTTCATAGGAGTTCATATCCAGTTTGTTGGTACCAGGCTGCTGCACAGGAGTAACAAACCATCTCTGGGGAGGATTGGCCACCTCTTCATTCTGCTGAGGAGAGAGCAGGCCATTTGTCTGAGGTACAGTTCTCTCACCATTGTAAAATCTGGCTGGTGGCAAGTTGTTGACAAACTGTTCCTGGAAGAATGGTTGCATGCTGTACCGGGCTCCTGGGACAATCTGGTGGGATCTAGGAGAATCCGTGGGAGATGGAGTTAATCTGTCATTTTCTGAAGCTGTGTACATGCTACAATATAAAAGAGAAATGCTAAGTGTTGGTCTTTACAATTCCATGTACTATTAAAAACAGACAGGGACTGAACTATGTGCCAAGGATAAAAATCTGGGATTTAGGACACTTGATACATTCTGCAAGATCAAAGTCCAGTTTCACCTTGGACCTCCACTCAGGAGACACTTCCAAGCCTTAAATTCTAAGTACAGCTCCTTTTAATATAGCATACACAATGCTTTGAAAAAACAACTTTTCACAAATCTTAATTCTTAACATACCAAAAATGTGACCAGCACCTTTTCAAGAGGTATCTATAGATATTTTTTAAAAATATTTTTAGAGTAAAGTAAACAATGAACCTCTCCCTTGTGCCAAGATAGATTAAATGAATACCTGGATCTTTTGGGTGAGACTTTAAAACTAAGAGGTCCTACCTACTCTGTGTAGGGTTTGGTCAGCTCCTTTTAGACAAAATGTACAGTCACCCACCAGAAGACAGACATGGTACACATACAAAAGGCATTTAAAAATCTAATTAAAGCTAGGAAAGAGTTGCACCATCTACTGAAGTTGTGGATATAGCTTATCCCCAAAAATAAAAGCAGTGGTTCTAAGTTGTTTTAAAAAATGGAAATCTTTCTACAAACAGGCCAGAAATATGCCTCCTAAATGGAGGCAGATTAGACTGAGGTAGGAATAAAAATTATACTTACGAATCATAGTTGTCCCTGAAGCCTTTTGCAAAAGGATTATGGTCAATTTTAAGCTGAGTGATCTAGGGGGGGGAAGATGGAATTGATGCAATTTAGAAATTTAACTCAAGCACCTTCTACCATAGTTTTCCCCAAGTTTAAACCCCCTCATGACTTACATCAGTGTTTTGATATGCAGTAACTGCTATGAACTGGGTTTCCGGGAAAATAAACGTCTGAGTCTTTGAAGAGTCATTGAGATCTTCAACCCCATCTTCAGTCACTTCCACAATATGAAGTCGAGGTTGGTACTTGTGTAGAGACTGAAGTACTATCATCTAGAAGAAACAATGCATAAAGTATAGTCTAGGATATTGTTCAGATAAAAGGCACCTAAAACTAAAGTGCTAACCATAGGGGAGAAAAATCAATCAGATGTTTGGAAGCTGATCATTTAGCCTTCAGACTCTCACAAGGAGTTTGCAAGGTGTGATCCTCAATTTAACCAGACTGGATAATAGCTTTAGGAGTACAGTGGCACAAAATTCACTGCTCTGAGAGAACAACAGAGTACATATAGACTACATTATGCACTGACTAAACAGAAGGGGGAAGTTTTTCATCCCATATCTGTTAAGACCATTGAACTTAAACAGATTCAAATGATTTTTGATTTTCTGAGGCTAGTATAGATCTGCAAGATAGGGTCATGAAGCCCTGAAAACCCAATCACTATCTGATGCTACTTTTTTGATTTAGAGGCTATTTATCAGTTATTTACCTGAGTATTATTATTGTTAGCACCTTTGTTATTGGTCAGTTTTAGTTTTCCAAAAGAGATCTCCTGCCTCATCCAATGAGCTCCAGTGTTTGGGGACTCAGGGTGAACATACACTTTGTTGCCTAGGAGAGAGAGAAGAGAGGCAAATGAAAGAAATACAAGAGCAGTCCTGTACACAAAATTCAGGAAGCAGATATTGGAGTGACAGGGATCATCTTTGGCACCAGCCATAGGACAAAGGGAGGGGAGGCAGATGCACTGCAAGTTAGTCCCTGGGTGCTGCTAGATTCCCGGAAGGACAAGCTTACACCTTTGTATATTAAATGCTGTGAAATTTCATTTAGTGCCCAGCTCGGCTTGGGGACAGCACCTGGCCCTGCCTGCAGAGGGGCAGGGAGGCCATGGCAGCGCCATCTTCCAGCCCAGGGGTTTCTCACGCGCGTTAAAACCCTTCACCACCCTTGAAAGGGGGTTGAGCATTTGGGGTTTGCCCTGCAAATGTCCCAGGGACGCGCCTCCGGGCCTGGCCATTGCTCACAGGCCACAGGGAAGAGCCAGCGGGGGGAGCACGCCCCGTGGCCGGGCTGCCTTGGGAAGGGGAAGGGCCGGGGCCGATCGGGAGCCGGTTTCCCAGAGCCTGGCTGGAGGGGCCGGGCCGCAAGGTACCTTGCATGTTGTTGTCCGCTTTCCCGCACGTCACCCACTTGCCCCCTTGGAAGCGCCAGTGGTTGGGATCGGCCAGCACCACCTCCACGAACACGTTGTAATGGGCCGTGGGGCTGAGGCCGGTGATGTTGAAGCTCAGGAAGGGAAACATCCGCCTGCGAGGGAAAAAAAGCGGAGACCGCGCAAGTCAGCGGCGCGCCCGGGGACGCCAAGGAAGGGCTCCGAGCCAGAGCTCAGGGACAGGCTCCGGGTCTGCCCGCTGGGGCGCGGCTCGGGGCGCTCTGCCAGGCACCGGGACGCGTGGAGCCCAAGCAGTCTGCGGGGGGGAAACTGAGGCAGGGACTGGATTGTCCCAGCCGGCTGCCTTCGGAGGGTCACGGCCAGGGGGTCTCTCAGCGGCTCTTAGGGTCCAAATCGGCCTCGGCTTTGCGGGGGGGGGGGGACCAGCCCCGCCACGGCCCGGCCATTTCCACTTGGGATTCGTTATCAAGTCGGCTAGATTTCAGCCCCCACGGCGCTGCTCCCTTCCCCTCAGTCTCCCACCGACAACAGGCGAGCTACTCAAAGGACCCGGCGCGAAGAAAACCTCAGCAAGAGCCACATTTCTGGCTTCTTCCCCCCCCAGCAAGGAACCATCCGCCTCCCACCCAACCCCCGCCACTGCCCCGCGGACAGCGAGTTTTCGGCTAAGAGACTGGCCCTTCCGAAACCCTAACGGGACCCCCCCGCCAAACACACACAATTACACTTACTGACCCCCCCCCCCCCAATCCGATTCGCTTCCCCGGGAGCCGCGAGTTCTGCTCCCCCGCCAGCCACCTCCGCCAAACCCTTCCCGAAGTCCCGGGGGTTTTGCCCCGCACGGGGACGGGCTCCGGTCCTCCAGGTCGGCGGCTTAGAAAAGAAAACCGGCCCGGCACCAAAACCGCGGCGCTTGCTGAGCTTCGCTGCCCGCCACACTCGCCCAAGCCCAGGGCAACCCCGAATTAGCGCAAATCCTCCCCGTGGGCGGAGAGCCCGAGGCCGGGGGCAGAGCGGGCTCCGGGCGGGGAGGCGCCGTTGAAATGGCCCTTCTCCGGCTCCCGTCGAGTTTCACTGGCCAAAAAAAAAAGGGAGCGTCGGTTTGGTTTGATTTTTAACGTGGCAACAAATTAACCCCCCCGCGGCTCAGGGGCAGCAAGAGGCAGCTCGGGGCTCCAGATCGCCCTCGAGAAACGGGACGTGTAAAACGAAGCGGGAAGAGCCCGATGCCCCCCAGGCGAGCCCCCCGCACAAGCCGCTTTAGCGGGCGGCGAACCCGGAGCCCCCTTGACGCCCAGGGCTGGCACCGGGGGCCCAGAAGGAATCGGTGGCGTGGGGGTTATAGCCGGTGTGGGGCTTGGGGATCCCCGCACGCCCGGCCCGGGCCCCTCCGTACCTGCCCTGCTTGGTGATGATCATCTCGGTCTGGTGCCGGTGGAACTTGAGCCAGAGCGGGCGGTTGCAGAGGAAGACCTGCGCCCGGAGCCCCGGCCCCGAGCCGGGCACGGCTAAGGCGCCCAGCCCGCCGCAGGAGCCCGCCGCCGGGTAGGGGCTGTACAGGGGCCCCGCCGCCCCTTGGCCGTACTGGTAGCCGCCGCCGCCGCCGCCGCCCCCGAACTGCGCCCGGCCGCCCGGGGAGCACACGGCGGCCGAGAAGCCCCCCGGGGACAGCACGGAGCCGTAGGGGTAGCGCGCCCCGCCGGGCGATTGGTAGACGGAGCCGTGCTGCGCCGCCGGGTAGGGGAAGAGCGAGCAGGGCCCGCCCAGCTCGGCCCCCTGCGGCCCGGGGGACTGCAGGTAGTAGCGCTCGGCGCTCAGGCTGTCCAGCGGGTAGCGGGCGGCGGCGGCCGGGGGCAGCTCGGCCTCCCCGCAAGGGGCCGCCTTGCGGCCGTCCGGGGCGCCCTGCTTGGAGCCCGCGCCGGGGAAGGGCTCGCCGGCCTCCGCCTCGCTCAGCATGCCCGGCCCGGCGCTGCCGCACTTCTTCGGCCCCTTGTCCAAGTCCAGGCGCTGCGGGGAGCCCGAGCTGGGCTGGCTGCGGTGGCCGCCGCGGGCGCCGCCGCTCTCCGGCGGGTAGAAGGGGGGCCCGGCCAGGCTCGCGGCGCTGGCCAGCAGCTGCTCCCCTAGCTGCATCCTCTCCAGCGCCAGTCGGGAGGGAGCCCGGGGCTGCTCTGGAGCGCGGCTCCTCCCAGGGAGGGAAAGTGCCGAGCCGCAAGGGCCCCCCGCCCGGAAAGTTCCCCTGCAACTTCCCCACCCCCTCGCTGCCCCCCCTCCCTACTCCTACCTTCCCCACTGAAAACAAGCCACCTCTGCTGCTGAATTAAACGGAGACTATTTATATAGGCACGCTGGGCTCCTCGGGCCGCCGGGGAGGGGCTTGGGGAGGTCTAGTTCGTGGCAGCCCCCGTCATCCTGGCTGGCCCATTGGCTGGTTTTTGTGACACTAATTTAATTAGACAGCTACTAATTGGAACAAGTCACCTGTGACTCCATTCCCGCCCCCCCCTTTAACTGGCTCCTGATGGGAGATCAAAATCCCTTCGTGTCCTGCTTTGGTAAAGGGAGAGAGGAAGCAGGAACTTGAACTGGATTTCTTGGTGGCTGGGGTGATCTACTTTGGATTTTACCCCGCCGCCAGGCGTTAGCAAAATGACGATCTCTTAATAAAGATGAGGCAGGCCTCTTAGATAACAGCTGCTTGGGTATAAAGAAAAGGACCCTGCATGTGGAAGACTTGAATGGGAAGAAAGCAACTTTCAGAGGGGAAAGAGAGAAGATCTGGACAAAATGTCAGTGATGCAACCTGAAATCCATGTAGTTATATAGCCTTAAAGATCCACGGATTTTGCTCCCCAGTGCCTTCGTAGACCGTGTTTAACAATTTAGCAAGCGAGACATCTGCGATTATCGTTGCCAGCCAAGAAACGAGATCCACATTTCATTTAAATTTGATGGGCGAGATTAAAGGCTCTCAACAGCGGTCTCGCCCCTGAAACAATTCAGCCTTTCTGCAGCCATGCCAGCTAGGGTAGAAACGCCTTTATACCAAAGATCAGAGCATCATTTACATCAGGATGACCCAGAGCTCTTTACACCTTATCAGGGGCTTCTCTTTCAAGCAACTGTAAGGGCTGTTTTGCTATTTCAATTCTACCCTTCCCCGCCCAAAAATAAATAAATAAAATTTTATTGCTTCAATAATCCGGTGCTGCAAAACGGAATTGTATTTTAATTGTCTGATAGATTCCTTGTTTTAACAATTCCAGATGGAGAATTTTATATGTCTCCCCATCACTGATACAGCGGGTGGTTTTGTTTTAACCCCGACAGACGAAGAGCTAGAATGTAAGAAGAATTAGATTGATTTCTGATTTTTAAAAGTCAGAGCATGGGGTCATGACTGAAATGGAGAGAGGTTGGTAGCCCCTTCGACCTCTCTTCGTGCAGATGCCTAAATCTGCCATGACTTCAACAGAGTGAATATTCCTAGCATCCAATTTTTAAAGCAAATTATAAAAAAAAAACCAATATTTCGTTGCTGAAAAAAAGCGACGGAAGCATATTCACTATGAATTAACAGTTACTAATACATAATAGTCCAAACTCCAGCTACGCTTTGTCTGACTGCCTTGAGCAACTCCTTCGGGATTTTGATTTTTTTTTTAACATAACAGGTTGACAAGGTCACATGAAGCCAAGATAAGGCGCTCAGAATTAACCAAACCCGCGCATCCCCGTGGATCAAAATACGTTTGTCCAGCTTTACAAAACTTTTACAGTTACAGGAACTCCGATGCTATTTGGTGCCGGGCTTGTTTGTAAATATTAGCCAAAGGTTTGGTTAAAGGACGGTAGGCAAAGAGGCTAGATGATCAGTTTAAAGGGCAGCTGATGTGCACTTAGTATGTAATGATCAGAAGCGGAAGAAAGAAGCGAAACGCTCGCAAATACTTAAGCACTCAATTTAAACTGCAGCGCAACAAAACGCACGGGGAGATGGTAAAGCGGCCGCTGGTGCTGCAGGACAGGTCGGCTCACAGCCTGCAGTTATCACTGTTATCTGCCACCCCGGTTCGTCCAGACTCGCTCTTGTAAAGTTTTGCCTCACTTTTTGCGGTGCGAACGAAAAAGACAAACCAGTTGCCGAGTCAGGAGCCCGGGCGTTCAGCGGAGACCTGCCTGCGCTGAGGTCCTGAGCGCTGTGACCGCGGCTATTTCTCTCGGCAAGGGGATGGGTTTGTTCTGGGGGGAGAAGAGCGGCGCAGATACAAACCATTCAGCCGGATCTTCACTAGTAGTGGACGGCAAAGCGATCTGCAGACCTCACCCCATTTACTATTCAATAGCGAAGTGACCACCGCTCGTGAAAGGGGGGCGTTACTGTGATCAAAATTCCTCCCGCGTGTGGAACTTGCAGCGCACCCGACAGATACTGAAAAACGTCTCGCTAGCAAAGGTTTATATAGCGCCCATAAGCCCCACTATCTAAGCGCTGCACAAACATTTCTATTTCACATGCTCTTGAACCTAGGTGAACTGAGTTTAATTCTAAAAAGTATTTAAAATGCCAAATCATTAAAAGACTATATAACAAGTACACTTTGTCATCCAAAGCGTCGCAGAGTGGGTCCTCCCGTACCTATCTACCCAGACCTTAGTTCGCCTACAAAATCGGAGAACATCCCACCTGGACAGGCTTAGCTCCTTGTACTGCTTTACGAACTAGTTGCAGTTCCCCACTGATTTCATCTGGAGCCTCCAATTAGTTTCAATAGGATCCTGAAAGGGCTTGTCTACCCATGGAGTTGTTCCCGAATAATTGTATCTGATTAACTTTCCAAGTGAGTTAAACTAAAAGCAAGAACAAGGCACTGTTATTCCAGAATATATCCTGTCCACACCACACGTGGAGTTATCAGGATCAGCTAATCAGGAACAACTCCAACGCCATATCCCCTTAGGGATTTTTCTGTAGAGAAGACAAAAACCCATGACAGGTAAAGCTTTTCGGTTTATTTTCAAATATATTTGTAATGAAGATTACACATGGATTCTGCTAATGATTTAAGATTTTAATCAGATTCTTTACATTTTCAGTATTCTTTTAAGATTTCAGATCACCTTTAGAGAAACATATGCTGGCCTCGATCCTGACATGGAACTCCCACAGCAGTCCGAGGAGGTTGTATATACACCTACGGACAGTATATGGCTTTTGGGGAAATAAGAAGCAGAGAGCTAGGAACTTGCTTATTCATCATGGGTCAAATTCTGTGCTTACTCAGGCAAAATTTCCATTGCAATCTATGTGATTTTGGACAGAGTAAGAGCTGCAGGATTTGACTCTGCATAAAGCATATACTAACATTTTATTTCCCTCCCCCCAATACACACGGATGAAATCTGGCCGTATGATGGTTTGAGCACACACACATATTTTTACACTTGTTTGTTCTTTGCATGGGAAATCGACAGACAGTCCCTATGGTTGAAAAATAATTTGCCCCACTCTACATTAAGAGTTATCTATTCTGTAACTCTTTGCTAACACAAAACAATTTGTTTCTAGACTTTCTAATTCCAACTAGACTGTAAAAAAATCTATATTACAGGGGAATCCAGTTACAAGACAGTAATTCTCAGAGATAGTAAAAGCAAAGTTAAGCCTTCTATTGGATACTGGAATGAACCATGTTCTTGAATGATGGATTTAGAACTGTAGCAGTTCAGTCCTAGCTACACTGCAAGCCTGAGCCATATTTTAGTCGCGTATTGGATAACGCATATGGGATTGTAACTGGATCACTGAACTCTTCAGATAAAATTACGGTACGTGCAGACTTTCCAGAAAGAAAAAGAAGAGTGTCAAAAAAGTACAACTACTAAAACGATCCCCAAACCACAAAATAAATGTTGTGGGGGGGGGGGAGGAAATCTGAGGTTTCAGACTGTTTCATAGAATGATGAATTGTTCGACTTAATTCAAATATATGAATCTCACTGAATCAAAAGCAATATTTATTCAAGGAGACCCTGTTTATGCGGTTTTATTTACAGTAAGGTATCATTAATGTACATTACACTTGTTGCCTTCTGGATAAGATTAAGTGGAATAACTGTTACCTCTTTCATATGAGATCTGTATAACAAAATACAGCTGCCAGTTCAGCAAAGCCCTTTAGCACATACTTAAGTGCTTTGCTGAACCGGGTCTCCTAAAGAAAAGACCTTATGATCCAGTAGGTCTTTTCCATATCTAGCTTCCATGATTCTCTCATGCACATCCCAATGGATCCAGATCAATAGTTTAAGAAAACTTTTACTTTCATCCATACTAACAGAATGTTATCCAATCACTTTCTATGTTGGTCAGACACTTTGTTCATTTTCTGCTGAAACATCTCAAGATTTACAGGTAATCATGGCTTCTCTTGGACCCTAGATAAATATGCAAATTATCTGTGGCTTTGACTAATTATCTTTGGATTTATTTTTGTTTAAATGTATCTTAGCCTCCCCCTTTTAAACTCCTGCTGCCTGGTTGGCACAGATGCCATCTCAAAGGCTGGGAGGCTTTTATATACACATATTTGAAATGGGAAGTCATAGGTGCTCTATTCACCTAGTTTGTCCTTTTTACTACATGCAAATAAAAATAACCTGATCAAACAAAGGAGGTAGGGATGCTCTTGTGGTTCATGCATGGGTACTTCAAGTCAGGAGTTCTAGGTCTTATTTTTTTCCTATATTTAAACTTTCTGTGTGACATTTTCTAAGTGACTAAGCCCAAGATTTTCAAAAGTGGCTACTGATTTTGGATGCTTCCGTTTACATATGCCCTGCTTCAGATAGCTTGGTCCTCATTTTCAAAATTAATGAGCATCTATAGCTTGCCCTGTGCGGCAGTTGAGGAAGCTGTTGGCTTTCAACACCTCTGAAAATCAGGCCCAGCTGTTCCAGGTTGGGCACTGAAATTGAATGGCTACTTTTGAAAGTTGGCTGCATACCTCTCTCTGCTTTCATTTTCTCATCTGTCAAATGGGGATGATACTATTCACCTAAAAGAAAAGGAGTACTTGTGGCACCTTAGAGACTAACCAATTTATTTGAGCATGAGCTTTCGTGAGCTACAGCTCACTTCATCGGATGCATACCGTGGAAACTGCAGAAGACATTATATACACAGAGACCATGAAACAATACCTCCACCCACCCCAC